TGCCATACAAATCAAGCCTACAAAAATCTGCTGAGTTAGAATTTAGCCTGCGATGCTATTGCTGTCAAGTCAGAGTGTGGTTTTATTTCTTAGGCATGTGTCTTTTCCCTATAGTACATTTTGAGCACCTATTTTCACTTAGAAGTAGGGAACAGAAAAATTGTTCCTTCTACCCCCTGCCCCTAAAAATGGTATAATCTCCCCTGTATGTTTTCAGTGTAAAATAACCAAGTGCATATGAGGACTAATGGCCCTAAAGGAGCTGCCTAGATCTACTCACTCAATAATCCGTGCTTTCAAAAGGCCTGATTTCACAGTTACAGAGACACCCCTGAGCAATTTTGCTGTGAGAGGAGTGCTCCTAGCATCTCCTCCCTATATGCTTCAGCAGCTCCCTCTAATGTCAGTGGGGACCCCCGTGTAACAGCTCCGAGAAAATTAGACAGCATCAGACCACATCCTGCCCTTGGGTGCACATCCACAGCTTCCAGTGGAGGTAATGAGACCCTCACAGCATCCCAAGGGATGGAAGCTGGTAGGGAAGCTGGAGGTGCTCCTAGTACCCAGCATGTCCAGCTCACCCTGAGCTCCGTCTACAGACAGGGCAATGCATCCATGCAAGATGCTGCAGCGTGGGATGGATACTGAAGATGGGAACCCCTTCCTTCTCAGCAAAGCTGGTCCTAACACCAGGAGGGAGAACTGCAGGACAGAGTAGCATAAAGCGTTCAGAGTCCTTGAATGAACCCTTGCTCACATTCATTTCTAAGCTGCCAATGCCCTATGTCCAACAGTCAGTATTTTAAATTGTTATTAAATGTCTTTGGGGGGATTATAATTTGTATGCCTGATTATACAATGGATATAACTATCTATCTCGTGATATCACATATAGCCATACCATACCGATGATTGAAATATATAATCCCCCCAAAGATGGTCAGAACAATTTAAACTTCCCTCTGCTTAATTAAGAGAGTTAGGGGATTAGGTACATGATTTATATGCAGGGGAAGGCTTGGTTTATGTTTTTAAAATCCTATGGAGGCACATGGAATTGGTGAGGGAGAGGTTAGGCCACCTTGTCCAGCCTTACACTGCCTCATCTCAACTGTCCTGCCTGCCTTTCTGCCTGCCTGCCTGGCACTGGGAGCTTTATCTCCTTTGATGAGGATGGGAGAGCTCTTCCCCTGCCTATTTCCACCTTCCAACATCTTCAGTGACTTCCCAGTGTCTCCTGAGGAAACTGACTCGGCAGCCAGCCAGATGCCATTAAGAAGGTACCTTGGCCACCGCAGCCCCATCCTTGTGAACACAGAGTGCTCCTGCTGCGATTCCCAGGGTTCCGCATGGCCATACCAACCCACCATGCCCTGATACCTCCAGCCTCTCTTCTTAGCATGCAATAACAGTGGCTTCATTACCCGCGGGGGACAAGGTTTGGGTGAGCTCCTGGGCCCCAGTGCACAGAGGAGAAACGTTTCAGAGGAGGGTTAGAAAACCAAGGCAAATTCTCCCAAGTTTCCCTTCCTTCAGCAGATCTTGGACCTGCCAATACTGCACCGAGCAGAAGTGATCAGTTTGTCTTCTTCACACTGACAATAAATCCAATCACACCTTGAACAAGTAAACAGAATCAATCGAGTGCCTGCAGCACCGTCCTCCCCTCGGCTCAGCGCCAGCCATGCTAACAGGGAAAACCAGGCAGGTTTCACTCCCCGCATTTACCCGCTGATTGCGGAGCCATCTTTGTCATTAGGGGTAAATTAATCAAGAGAGGTGAATGGTTTCGATAGGCCCCACTGTTTACTTAAAAATAAAAAGAAAGCAGAAACAAAATTAGTGCAATGCAGGGAGAGCCAGGCACTCGCTGTGCAGAATGAAGAACACAAATCCTTTGGAAAGCAAAATCACTTACATGTTATTGCTGTCTCCCAGCACTACTTGGGAAGAAGGATCTCTGAGCAGACACATCACCCTGTGGGTGCCGGGGCTGCCCTGGGCAAGACTCCCTCCACTCCTCCCCCAAGGTCCCCATGCCAGGACCCCCTGCCTGGTAAAGGCAGGGCTCTCATGCATCACATGCACAAGCACTGGGTTGTTTTGACACCCAGATGCTCCCCCCTCTCATCTGACCACCGATGCCAGGCTGAGATGTGCCCCGTCCCTTCACATACTTCAGTCACTCCTAGGAAGATTCCTTCACTCCAGACCTTGCCAAACCCTTTGGCCTGGGAAAAAAGACCTGAGAAGTTCACAGCCACCCATAACTCTCTTCCTGGGTCTGACCAGATGCAGCTGAACCATCGTCTAGTTAAGAGGAAAAGATCAACCCGGATTTAAGAGGCAGCAAGGCCTCTATAACTCTTCCTTAGAGCACAGCTTGGGTGAATTTATGCTCTGCAGCGTGGTGGCAGGAAACAGATATAACTCGTAGTGATGGTGCTGCTCCTTCTGTAAGGGAGGCTCTCACCCCAGCCCCTTACCGGAAAGTTTTGGGACACCATCCCAACTCCAGGGCAGGGAGTCCCGAGATGTTGCGTGCGGCTCTTGGTTCAGATCTACGGCGCACGTAGTGAGGAAGATATGGGGTTTCTTTTCCTTTCTTCTTTTTGTCTTTGAAATCTTGTCAGTATATCAACACATTTGATAAGGGCAGTGTTGTAGTTACACTTCTTTAATTAAGTGAATAATTAAAAAGAAGTTGATCATCAATTAGTTAATTAAATAATTAATCCATTTTACTTTCATACCCTTTTTTGTTAATCACTGTGGCTTCGGTAATGAGCCTCCTATGTGTTGCTAAGCAACCGCCTCCTCGTTTAAACCATTAGCAGCTGCCGACGGCCGCGCCGGTGTGAAGGGATGCGGCGGGGCGGCCCCGGGCCCGGCTGCGGGCTCCGACCTCCGGGGATCGCAGGTTCGAGCCCCGCCTCCGGCACGTCCCCCACCCCTGCTGCCGCCTCAGGAGCCGGCAGGGAAAGCGATGATTCCTCTAAAACAACCGCTGGGAAAACCAACGTCCGTGCCCTGCGCCGCTGCCCAGGCCGCAAGGCCTTGCGCACAGCGAGGAGGAAGACTGCTGCCGCCGGGTAGCAGGGAGGAAGGCGGGGGATGCGGCGCCGCTTTGCCCGGCGGGGACCGTCCTCACCCCCGACGGGCTCCGGCAGCGGGGGCACGGCTTCCCCCTCCGACACCCTGCGCCCTCCCGGGAGGCACATCCATCCTTCCCACCCGTTCCTCAGTTTCCCCCGAGCGAGAGCTGCCCCGACGGTCCCCGCCCGGGGGGAACCGGGCTGGCCCCCACCGCAGACGGCATCTCCCCTTCCCTCCTCGCTCCCTCATTATTCTCCCGAGTTCTTTTCTATTTTTTCCCCCTCCTCTGTTACCAATTGTTTCTCTGCCCCGGGGCCAACGTCTAAATGAGATGTTACATCTGCACCGAGCTAAGTAAACACTTTATAAATGAATAAATAAGTGAATAAATAACGAAATAGTAATATCTGCGCCAAGTGGAGTCAGTACCGCGGCTGCTCGGCCGGGGGAAGTGGGTAGAGGGGCCGGGGGGGGAGAGGAGGCACCGCCGAAACTCCCCACACCCAGAACCCATCACCGCTGCATTGAGCACAGCCCGGGGGAGGCTGAGCCGGCCCTCCCGGAGCCTCTCCCCGCGACCACAATGCCACTGTCCCGTGTCCCCCCCACTCCGGATCGTGTCCCTGGGAGGGACAGGGCTCGACCTCCCCATCCGGGGCTCCCGGACCGGACCGACCCCCTCTCGGGCGCCCGGGCTGAACTTTGTAATTATAATGGATAACGAGAACAAAGGCAAGAAGCACTCATTGAGTAACTGATATCAATTATGGAAGCAGGCTTTTGAGCCTGGAATAAATGATAGGGGAATTGGCCTGAGAGGGAGTGGGAACAGACATGTTATTATTTACGCCAGATTAAGAAAAGTATCCAATTTGCTGGCCATCTCCTTCCGCTGGGAATCGGCATCAATTTTATTATTGTTCCTCAGATTTTAATATTCTGTAAATGAATTACGATCGAGCTAGGTAGTTAGTCAATAGTTTAATGCAATTAATTAACTTCCCATCGCTTGGTTATCTCTGCCCGGGCCCCCTTTTCCCGGCCGGCCACAGTGCAGGGCAGCGGTTTGTTTGCGGTAAATACGGGTGCAGGCTCCGCTCAGAGCCGGGCTCGGTGTGTGTGAGTGTGTGTTGACTCTTTGGTGTCTAGGTTTTTTCCACTGTTCCGTGCATTGTACGACATAACTAGAACTGAAGCAGTACATTTCTTCAAACAATGCCTCCCGATTCCATTTGTAATGGAATTGGAGGGAGAAAATGTAATTGTGTGTTAAACATGAGGCAGCCATACATGAAGATAAGCAGGGCTGAGTGACTGGATATGGAAATCCAACGCGGGGACTAGATACTGGAGGTCTATTTTGGAGTTAAATGGCTCATAAAAACAGGAGGCTGGCGTTTATTTATTTATTTGCCGGAGCATCTATAGGGCTGCGCATGTGGAGCTGCGTTTTGGGGAGGCGGGGGAGAGGAATGCGAGGGGAGAGCACGGCCGCTGGCTTGAGGGGGCTGGTGGAAGGGTGGTCGCTGCTGGGGGATGGAGGAAGGGGACACGACTCCCGGGCAGGTATCCCTTGGAGCCCACCCCTCTGAAACAACTTCGGAGGCTCAGATCAGGACAGCAGTGACCGGGGTTCCCCCTCCCCCACCCCGGTT